AATTGAATTTATTTGATTAAATCATGTGTAGATCGGATTATTTAAAAGTATAAATTATTATATTTTATTTTTTGGAATTTTGGAATTTAATTGGTATATATGTGTGTTGCATATATTTTTTAAAATAAATTTAGAGGCTTGATCTGGACTCAAGAGGGTTAGATACGGGTTATGAGATTTTATAGTTTTTTTTTATAATTTGCTGGGATTTTTTTATGTATTTTTTTTAAAGCCGTTTTATTAAATTTGTGGGTAAAAATATATAAACTACTAAACTGTTAGTGGCTGTTGATCGGCGCATCCCAAGGGATTTGGATTCGGTGTGGGCGTGTGCATGGAAAGTGGGTGCACACACTAATCTTGACCATTAAAATTATTTAAAGGTAAGTGGATTGATCTGGTGCATCGCGGCGCATGAAGGGTTGGTGCGCATGTGCATCTAGGCCATACAAGTGGTTTGGTCAATTGTGGATTGATCTGGTGTAGCGCAATCCATAGAGAGTGGTGCTCACTCAGATCTGAACCATTAATTGTGACTTGATGGAGGAAAATAATCCGGTGTGGTTGCACTTAGACAGCAACTGGGAGCTCATCTAGTCACAAGAAGACACATCAACCAGAGGGGTTTCCAGGCGCGTGTGCAGCGCGTGAACGCGCGTGGGAACACATAAAGCCAAGTGGCTGCTTGTGGTAGCGCGTAGAAGCGCGTGAGAAAGTGTTTGGGGTTCCGTAAGCTTCTGTGGTGTCCGGTGATTTTCTAGAATATATTTTAAGCTTGTTAGGGTTGAAAGCAACCACTAAAGGATGCGTTTGTGGTGTTTTGAGAGCCATACAATATCATTACGATATTTAATGAGTTTAGTCTATATTTAATTAATCACTGGGGATGGAAGGAAGTGTATATATATATATATTTATTTATACGTCTTTCCATACTAATCATATATTAATTAATTCATATATATACTATATATATGAATTAATTAATATATGATTAGTATGGAAAGACGTATATATATATATATTAAAGTTGATACATATATAATATATATATATATATATATATATATGTATGTATATATATTAAATAATATATATATGTATGTATCATTTAAGATAATTAATGTTATTATTCTCATTCGGTATATCATGTTTTCTAGGAGTATGATTGATTAAATTATAATGGATTGGTTATTAAATTTATTTTATGCATATAATATGCATGATATGGCTATGTATGAATTAACTTATTGTTTAAGTTTAAAGTTGATACATAGTTGAATTGTAGGTATGGATGAGTTGTCATATGCGTAAATATATTGTCCGAGTATTTGTATGAATAAAATACATACATTGGAAGTATGGATAAGTTGCTAGTTTATTAGTATAAATATATATACTTGTAGAGGTATGATTAAATTGCCAATGTATAAATAAATATACTTGTGGAGGCATGGTTGAATTGCCAAGGTATAACTAAATATACTTAAAGGAGGTATGGTTGAATTGCCGATATGTAAATAAATATATTTATAATGGCATGGTTGATTTGCCAAAGTGCAATTATACTGCTATGTGTTAGATGATTAAAATATATCATCTATGGTTATTGTACGGATAAGTTGGATTAGGATTAGATATTCTTAAATTAGAATAGTTTAGTACTTATAGGTTAGTGTATATTTTTATATATTAATAAAATAATACTGATGGTGACATGGATGATTTGTCAAAGCCTAGATCGTGGCTGTGTGATTTAAAAATTTAAAAATCAGTATTGGTTTTGGAATTTAATATAATGTTATTTTAATTATATTTTATTGTTTAAATTATTAAATTGTTGTCTATGATGGAATTAAGGTTAGAGGAGTTTCTATAAAAAAAAAACGAGAAATTGTGGATTGGACTAAGTATGATTATTATTTAATCATTCATAATGGTTTTGGAATTAATGTGCCTAGTTATAGATGTTGTTGATATGTTGTATATAATCAATTATATATATGTATATCATTGTATATGAAAGATAAAAGACTTTATTAGGTTTGATTTTGATCAGAGATGATCTACTTATTGGTTTTCAGAGGCCTGGCAGAGTGAACTTGCTCGTAGGGTTTAACTCACGATTTATTTTTCAGATTATTAGAAATTCAAGTCTCAAGGTTGAGGATCCGCAGCTGGAGGACTTATATATTCTTTCTATTTTATTTCAAAGTAGGATAGTATTACTTCAGTAATTATTAATGGATTTATGGATAGTGGATTTTGGTTAAGGGGTACTTGAGTTACGGATTCCTGAGTTGTAACCATTGACAAGTTATTAATAGAAATTTTTGTTTATTAGTTTTCTTCAGCGTATTATTTATTCTTTTTATTTCATTTTGTACTCTGTACTTATTTGAAATACTTTAATTGTTTTGATATCCTCTGATTTTGTGCGCGAATTTGATCAACCCGTGTTCCGAAATTAGGGGGTATCACAAGAAGGGAAGTGCGTAAAACAAATTAGTCAAGGTCGCTCTTTCAGAAAGCACCCTCGAGCGAGCCAAAGGAGAAGGAGCCCATCCGACTGGAGCGGGGCACATCCACAGTAGAGGAAAGGTAGCGACTCCTTCCTCGGCCAGCGAGTTCAATTATTGGATAGGTAGCTCGAGAATACCTAATCTACCTTAGACACGCCAGGTAAACGCTGACCAGTTGTGCCTATGTTATAGGGGTGGCGCCACTTAATCAGCTATCGTGGCACAGTTATCAACAATATGTGATCCTTGCGTGCATAATTTCTCTCCACTAATACACATTATATATATATATATATATATATATATATAGTCTTACACTTCTTGTCCACTCTCACCCATTTTAACAGCAGAGTAAGATCATCAAAGAGGCTGATTCAAGAAGTCACCATTTTATTTGTCAAAGTATGAAACTAAGATTTCTTGTGCATTTGTACAAGTCGTGCTTTCGGCTGATTAATTAGACTAATGGTGATCGTATAGATATGCATGATTAATGATTAGAGGTAAAATGTTCGGACAAATTTTGATTTGATTGTGTGGCAAAAGTAAGTTAAAGCAAGCAAAAGTAAGTTAAGCAAGCAAGCAAAAGTAGTTCAGCAAACTCACACACACACAAATCATGTCTTTAAGAGATTAACACAATTAAATTAAAATTTGAAATATAATTTTTGAGGTCGTTATCATTTTTTTTTTTTTTTGGGAATAATGGTGCAAGTGTAATTTTCCCCCCCCTTATTTTAAGTCATGAAAATTTCAATTTACATGCATTTTGGTGCCAGATCATAATATGATCATAGACAAGGAAATATGGCAAATCTAGAAGACCAACATGTTGTGAGGTTATTCCTATTCTTTCTGTGGTGTCACCTTGCAATTTAATGATCATATGAAATTATTTATACTTGAAATATTTAATTTCTCAAGATAATTATGGCGAAATAATAATTATTAAATTCAACATGTCTTAACCCAACTATATGCTTATTTAGAGAAGTGTACTTTCGTTCCGCTATTGCTACAAAACATGTGAGTTGTGAACAATTAATTTGAACAAATTATAACTCCATTTGATCAAGGAATTTTTGAAATGAACTTTTGGCCTTCATATAATTGCTGCTATAAGAGCAGTGTTTAGGGCACCCAATTCTATTCAACGTGACCAAATTCCTCTCAGGTGATGCCAAATATTGTTTCCATTTAAATCTTGTTGCAATTAAATTTTCATCTTCTATGTGTTAGTTAACTATAGTTAAATTTTTTTTTAACTTCAGTTATTTATCCTATATATATTACACATTACACACAAACTCATCTTATTCCTATTCCCCGTCTGCATAAACATATACAGTGGTATAGTACACAATTTGCATCTTAATATATATATATTGCATATACAATATAAATTTTGATCTCAGTTAATTTCATGTAGCCATTCCATATACATAATAAATACAGTCAGTAGTCTCGATTTTAATTTTTTAATCTAACAAGGCCTTGCTTTTCAGACACAAACGGTTTATGTTGTGAAATACTGACTATGTTTTGTTTAATTTAAATTTCATTATTTGATACATTTTAAAATTTTGACAATCTTTGCCATTCCTTGCATTGGATTCGGTTTGGATTGACTTGAATATGAGTAAGTTAAAATAGATCAATTCATTTACAATGAGTCAAAATAGATTGGGTCAACCTATCATAATTCAATGTCCATTTTTTTATCATAACCCAACTTATTTATAATTATCATACGGGGCATGTTTATCACGACCCAGCCAACTTACAAGACCCGAACCATTACCCAACTATTTTATAAGACCCAACCCGTTTTCATTAAAATAAAATAAAATAACTCGTATTGACCGAAAGCTTTGGAACTGAGCCTTGGTCTTTTCCCTTAGGGTGTGTTTGGATAATATTAGTTATGAGAGAAAAGAAAAGAAAAGAAAGGATAGTTTAGTGAGAAAAGAAAAGAAAAGAAAAGAAATGATAGTAATAATTTCTATTTGTGTTTGGATAGACCGGGGAGAAAAGAAAAGAAAGGATAGTTATTCTTGTTTGGATAAGATAGAGGAGAGAAAAGAAAAGAAAGGATAATAGACAAATTACTTTTTTATCCTTTCATAACCATGGGACTTGAATGGAATAATAAATCTGTGTATTGATTTGTGGAGGCTAATTTTGGTATTATCAAAATACCACTAAAATCACTATCCTTTCTCTCCCTATCTCTCCTTATCTTCTCAAAATTGAGGAGAAAGCAAATGAAAGATAAGGAGGGATAGCTATCCCTTCCTATCTCTCCTTATCCCTCCCTATCCCTCCACTTAACTTACCCAAACACACACTACACTATCCTCTCTTTTCTTTTCTCTCCCTATCCCTCCAAATCAACCCTACCAAACACACCCTAGAGATTGCGCTGAAGCTTGAGAGTTAACTCAGATCTTCATTTTTCTCTCACCACCAGGTAATATTTACTCATATTGTTATTTTAAGCTAGGTTTTGCTACCAATTTCTGTTTAAGGTAGAAGAATATAAGAAGGCTTCGACCTGCTCTGTTTCGCGGTTATGCCAAAAACTCAACTATCAAAATCTCTCTTTACACCAATCCTCCGTAGTTGTCCTTTTTTTCTATCGTCAATTCCTTCTATTTGATGTTCGTTTGCCAATTCCGATCGGTAAGAACACATTATTTTTTTGTTGATATATATATATATATAGGGTTGTGATTTGTGAATTAGGGTTTCAATTAAAAAATCGATTTCTAAAGGTTTCCTAGTCCAATCAAAACGTGTATTTATATATATATATATATATATATATATATATATATAATTTCTTTTCTTTTCTTTTTTTATAATTAATTTTATCTTTTCCACCTCAATTGGATATGTCTTATTTGAAAAAAAAGCAAAATTTTTGTTAATTGTTTTCTGATCTACTTAACCCTACTGGGTATTTTATTTGCCGTCAAAAGTAAGTAAATAGATCCGAAAATGCGAGTTTTTTTGTCCTACAATCTTACTATCCTCTGATTTATCTTTTTCAATAGTTTTTATCGAGTGCGGATGTAGGGTGGTAGTGGGTTTGAGTCCACTGGATTTTTTTTTTGACTGCTTCAAAATTAGTCGACCAATCAAGTCCATGTCAAGTTAGTCAACTCATTCATCATACTAAAATAAAGGTCCAAGCCAAATAAGCCCAGGGTCGGCCCTGACCCAAGGCGACAAAGGTGGTCGCCTAGGGGCTCAAAATTTTTAGGCCCATGGATGATGGGCCACCAGGAAAAAAAAAAATTTTTAGGGCACATCATTTCAGCCTCCCCAATCGCCTCCAACTCTATTCTCGTTCTCAACTCTGAACTTGCCTTCTCTCTCTGCAACTGCAAACTTCAAAATCTACAAGAATCAGAAGTTCAAAACCCATATATTTCAGTTTATCTATCTTTCGGCAAGAATTAAGAGTTCAAAACCTATTACCTATATCAACACCCATATCAGATTGTTCAAAAAATCAAAACCCATATCTTTCAGTTTCCATCGCCTGCTGTTCCAGTTCGGGTTCGCCGTTCGCAAGCTTCAGCCGCTGGCTCTCAACTCTCAAGCTTGCCCCCCCTCTCTCTGCCACTGCTAAGTTGTTTGTATGGGTTTTGTTTTAAATTTTTTTTTTCTTTCTAAATCAACTAATCAAGGTCTGTAATTCTTGTTTTGGAAACTAAATCCTATTTGGGAGAAATTTTTTATGATCTTTTTCATATAATTTTTTTTCCCCACACAATATAAAGGAACAAAATTTGCATTGCATTTTGAGGTGATCACCGTAATCTGCATTTTATTTTATTTTATTCTTCTTATTATTATTTTGTCAATTATGACTACAAGAAAATTTGAATCTGGGCATGAAAAAAGAAAAAAAAAAAAGAATCTGAATTGGATTAGAAATCTGCAGAGATTGAATCTGAAACAATTTTTATCAACATGCCAAGCTTTTTGAAGATGGAAATCTTTTCAGAATTAAAAAAATAAAAATCATAACAAGAACTTTGACAAGCAAAAGTACATAATATAGGGTAAAGCTCTAAAGTTGCTTCTTGAAAATTAAAATACTTACAAAAAGCATGCTTTTGAGTGAATTCCATAGTGTTGGAAGGGGCTTGCGGCTAGTAGATTCTCAAATAGGATTAGTAAATTGGTCAAAAGAAGAGATAGGGTACTGAGTGGTGAATTGTTCAGAAATAAATTGGTAATTTTTTTTATTAATTACCCAAATTGGATTTTCTATGCCTTAAATCAGTCAATTGTTTAAAGAAACATTGTTAATTAACTAAAATTGAATTAAACTAACAGTTGATTTTGGTTGATATATTTTGATTTAGCCCGCACCATTGAGGAATCCTGGATCCGCCCTTCGTTTTTATTCAAACCTCAATAGTTAGATTTTGAAGGTTTTGCTCCAATCTAGTCCTTTTAAACTTACTAAGCTAATCTTATAGCTATAGATTTTTTTGGCAAGTCTTGTAGCAATAGATTTACAAGGGGTACTCATTGACTTTTGCTTCTACAAGTAAATAGTATAAAGGTTTGGCTATGCACCTTTCTCCTCACTCCCTCCATTAAACACTGGTTTTTGTTTGAGAGGCTGGTCTATTACCATTTATATGGCTTGATTGGTAACATGTATATGCTGATGGAGTATGGGGTGTGCTGTTGATTGAGAAACATGTACATGTTTTGTTTGAGATATTGGTTTATTTCCTTAGTCAACCTTTTTCTTTTTAAAACTTTTTTTGGGTGGTATTTTTGTTATTAGCTTGTTACACTTCTTTGGGTTTTTTTCTTTGTTTTTCTGTTCTAGCAGAAACGTTTTAGAATTAGAGTTCTTGCAATTTTGATAGCACATGAGATTAGTTTTGCAATTGTTTGATCGTTCTGTGGATACTAATATCCTAAAACAAATTATAGGGAAAAAAAAATATTCAAAGCCTAATATTTTACATATAAATATGATTTTTATGCACTTGTTATATATAAGGTTTTAGATAAATATGTGATTTTTATATAGGCTTGTATAAAAGTCTTTTGCAAACGCTAATCTTTGCAGCTGCCTCCCTTCTCCCCTGAGTAGTTGACGTCGAAGTGGAAGAGAAAGAAAAGTGGGGTGGAGTTTTTCTTGTTTTTGGGGATTGGATTAAAGTTTTGGCTCTAACAACTATCAAAGGGTCAACGAGCATTATGCCTCCTCAGTCCTCAGGAACTTAATTTCATTGCTCCTCTCATTTCTTTAATTGGCATTTTAAGGTCTATAATAACGTGTTTGTTTTTTTCGATTTTGTGAACCATCTTCAGTTGAATGATTCTCGTTGTTATCATTATTGTATGTCCTTATGTTTGTGATGCTAGCTTACGACTAAAAATAGTTCAACTACTAATGTCAATATTTAAAAATATGACTTTTTCCTCCCAAATTCTAGGTTTACTGAGAAAAAAATCTCATGGGAATGGGTGGAGTGGGCAAAAGATAGCCGATAGGTATGTTTTCTGGACTTATTATTATTCTTTTATTAATTAAGGATAAAGCATTGTATTTATTTCGTTTCCCCACTTCACCCTAATGTTATTGAACGGTTATAATCAGCTTTTCAGACTTGAAATACTGACTAATCTGATTTATGTGATCTTTCTTTGAATGGTGTATAATTAAGGCCAACAAAACCATTGCAGCACCCATTTGAGAATGATTTGAAACCTATGTTTGCTATCATTTATACAAGTTAGCTATGAAAGAAATAAAAGTCATTTTGGAATTTGTTTTTATCATTTTGAAATATGGAATTTGTTTTTATCATTTTGAAATACAAGGTATCATTTTGGAATTTGTTTTTACCTCTCCTTGAAAGGAGATCTAAAAGCATGATGGTGGTGATTGTGATTGTGATCGGAGCTTCGAATTTGAGCATTGCACTCTCAATGGCGAGCCAGACTTGATGCAGAGGATGGAGAGAGAAATTAAACACTAGTTCAGTAGTTGAATGGGTTTGGTGAGATTGGTAGAAGGGCAAAACTGTCCTTTTAAATTTATGATATTTTACCATTAAAATTAGTTATATATTGATGGGTAATTTTGCTTTTCAGACACTTTAAGGGTCTGTTTGGATTAAAATTTTGTGAGGGGGTGTCATTGTCCAAAAAAAGTCCAACTTATATATGGGTATCATTATAGCAAATCTCAGGAGGTGCCGTCGTAATAAAATTGCTCCACTGAAATTACATATAAAAAAATTAATATTACCCTGTAACATAGGCCACCTATATAATTTTTTGAGTTCGTCCATGAGTGTCATGTCATATAACTCATAGACAATAAAACATGACATATCTGGAAGATAACATGTTATATTTAAAAATGGGTTGAAAAAGAATGCAAGATGTACACGGGCTAACATGTAAAGTATTGGAGAGGGAAGTAAATGTTGTGAGGTTATTCCTATTCTTACTTTGGTGTCACCTGCAAGATAATGATCATATGAAAAAAATTTCTACAGGAAATATTTAAATTCTCTAAAAATTTTATGCGGAAAAAAGAGAAATTTTATACCCAAAAATAGAACATGTGACCAATTAATTTGAACTTGTTGAATTTGAAATAAGCTTTTAGTCTTCCTATCATTTTTTTCATCCATGCCTTCATGGAGGTGAGAACATTCGACCCTTTTTTTTTTTTTTTTTCATTCGACGTTTATGATGGCCATTTCCTTTTAGGTCATATATTGGCTCCATTTGAATCTTATCTTCCATCATTGTTATATCGCCCTCTACATCACTTCATTAAGGAAGAATGGAAGATCACCACTACAATGCCACATCAATAACATCACAGAAGCATGTTTTTTTCTTCTCCAATTAAAATTTTGTGACCCAAATTATTTTTTCAGAAATGAAATTATATATATATATATCCTTCTGCAAATTTAATGGAGTTCATATTTTCTTTTTGAAATAGGTCTCAAATTTCATATCCTCTTGATTATGAAAAGATAAATTCAAATTTCTTAGTTCTGGATCAGACTCCATTAAGCCAATGTTAATGAAGTGAATTAATTCATGTGAGATCAGGGTTTCACTGAATGTTGAAATAGGCCCAATTTTTAGTCTTGGGTAAAATGGGCCCATATGTAGTTAGTTAGCCCAATTTTTAGTCTTGGGTCAAATGGGCCCATATGTAGTTAGTTAACCTTGGTTAGAAAACTTTACCAAGGTTAAAATCACTTTTTCACTCTATATAGTACACAATACTCATCTATCAAGCTAGGTTCTACCATTTTTGCATCGTAATTTCTCTGTTGTCTCTGCAAATACACACTGGTTGGTTGGTTACACAATTTTTGCATCTTAATGTCTCTCTATCTCTCCAAATACACACACAATCACACACCATTTTCATATACACAAACCCCATTTTTTTTTCGTCACACACACACACACACACATATATATATACAGTCTTAATTTGTTTACCAAGTGTGTCTTATTCTCACTAAATGTGTTTTGCAAATCATTAAAGGTGCACAAGCAGCATATAGATTTCTAAGAAACTTGGAGTCCAGCCTAGGATCTAATTTGAAGGTCCATGTGTTGAAATCGGGAACACTGAAGCCTACACATGCATGTGCAGGTGGTTGTGAACGGACAGGTTTAGTGTAGTTTAGTTTAGTTTGATTTCTGTTTTAAACATGTACATGAATTTTGAACAGAGATTAGTATTGTTGTTATCTTCTTTTAAATTTGTTTGATTGAGATTGCAGGATGAGAGTGCGCTGCTCCAACAACACAATTCACAGACCGGAATAAGCCACATAGGTCAATGTAGTGGCCGGAACCGTCGAGATGTTGATGAAAGGCTATCAGTTGGCTTCCTAAAAAATTGGTAATGCCGAAGAAGTTGAGGACGCTCCCAAAATGATAGCAGCGATGAATCAAAGGCTCAACAACATTGAAGCCTTGTTGCTTGAGATGGCCGGCCGTCAACAGCCTATGACTAAGGGTGGTGCCGTAACTGGTCCCGCCAAACAGGGATCATGTGCTAAGGAAAATGGTGGTTTTGGAAATGGTCAGAAACAACGGAGGAAATGGTGGTGTCGGGAATGGTCCCACACAGGGGAACGGTACTGGAAATGCTCCTAACGGCAATGAATGGGACGGGATTGACTGGTCAGATGTAGTCTGAGCCTCCGAGGATAGTCCTTGATTGGTGCCGGAATTGGTCCCGCCAAACAGGGATCATGTGCTAAGGAAAATGGTGGTTCTGGAAATGGGTTAGAAACAACGGAGGATTTGGTGGTGCTGGGAATGGTCCCACAAAGTGGAATGGTACTGGAAGTGCTCCCAACGGCAATGACTGGGACGGGATTGACTGGTCAGATGTAGTCTGAGGATGGTCTTTGATTGGTGCCGGAACTATTCCTGCCAAACAGGGATTATGTGCTAAGGAAAATGGTGGTTCTGGAAATGGTCAGAAACAACGGAGGAAATGGTGGTGCTGGGAATGGTCCCACACAAGGGAACGGTATTGGAAGTGCTCCCAACTCAACGACGATGATTTACAGTGAATTGCCTAACCAACGACGATGATTTGCAGTGAATTGCCTAACCAAATAAATTTTTAATTGACTATTTATACCAAATATAACTAAGTGGAGGGTTTTATTTATTTGTTGCATAATTGACCAATTAAAAGAGTAGGTCTAGCAACCACTCAAAAATGCATGTATGGAGTTTCATGATAGATTGAACTTTAAAGAAAACTTAGTAATATGTTGCTACTTCTTTTGGTAAACGCCACATGTGCTTTTTTATTTATTTACTTATTTGTTACTTTTTATTTTCTTGCAAGGCTGTTTAAAACTCTTTCTAATTTAAAACCCATTTATACAATTTTTTATAGTTTCTGAAGGGGAAAAAAAAAAAAAAAAAAAAAAAAAAAAAATGAATAATTCATTTAATTTATTTGATTTTATTTAGCATTAAATATTCTTAGGAGTGGGATGAACACTAAATTATCATTTTATTGACAACATAGTGTGTTACCACGAGGTTGCACCATCTTTAGTATGGTCACACTCTGCAAAATGATATAAAAAAGAATGTACAACCAAACGAGCCCACAACATAGGCAAGCCCGGAACAAAAGTTACAACCCAAAACATTGAGTCCACAACAATGGCAATCCCATAATAACAAAGGTTCACTGCAAAGGCCACTTTCAACGTACGTACCACAGTAAAACCACTTTTACCATGCACGGGCAAATTGTAAAGTTATATTGTGAAAATATTAGATGAAATAAGGCAATAATTTTTAGTATACTTCTACATTGATAAGGCTTTCAGCACCTGCACACACTATTTCTAGTATGCATAATTTTTACGAATAAAATTTTATAAAAATAAATGAAAAATAGATCAATTTGATGTTTAAGACAGAGTATGTAGAATTATGGTCATGAAAGAATAAAATTTGTTGACACCTCATTCAATTTTTGCAATAAAGGTTCAATTTATTGGCACCTGTCATGTCTTTTTTTGTCATTACATGTTAGGAGTTTATGATATGTCCTAAAAACCACTTCTTTTGCACACTACAACTTAGTGGGGCAGATGTGTGTTAGTGGGGCAGATGTGTGTTAGTGCTCACTACAACTTATTCGTAAAATTTTATAATTTTTACGAATAAAATTTTATAAAAATAAATGAAAAATAGATCAATTTGATGTTTAAGACAGAGTATGTAGAATTATGGTCATGAAAGAATAAAATTTGTTGACACCTCATTCAATTTTTGCAATAAAGGTTCAATTTATTGGCACCTGTCATGTCTTTTTTTGTCATTACATGTTAGGAGTTTATGATATGTCCTAAAAACCACTTATTTTGCACCGTACAACTTAGTGGGGCAGATGTGTGTTAGTGCTCACTGAATTACTGATTTCTCTCTCTTTCTCTTCTCATTTTTATTTTCATTTTCCTTCTAAATAAAAATTCCACAAATTATTTTTTTTAGATTTGATAAAACATTTTACTCAGTAAATATTTTATTTAAATTTCAGACAACCAAATACCAAAAAATAAAACAAAAATAGTGTAAATTTCAATAGTGCTTTTATATACACCACTGTGTTTACTAAAATGCCTGTGATATTGCATTTGATAACATATAGCGCTTGGAAGGGTCTTAACTCTTGAGATTTCACTACCCTCGACGTTGAAGCAGACCCGCGGTGTTGAGCACCTTCTGCACAACTAACCTAGTAGTTAAGCTCCGACCTTTGAAGTGGAGCTTTTAAACTCTGCCCACATGGTTGTCTGTGCTTCTACACTCGTACCAATTTATCACTTCATTCTTCACAGAAATAATTTGCATCATATATGTTTGCACCAATCCTCAAAGACAACTAGGACAAAAGACTCACTTAGCATCCTCAACCTTAGATGAGAACCGTGAAGCCACCAGCGGTACATTTTGCACTCTTTGTGAGCAGTCCCGTGTTCCTCTATGCAATGCATTATAGGGGAAAACAAAACACAGTTATAAACCCAACAAGACCACAACCACAAGCTTCGCTATTACAAGGCAGATTCATTGGCGAAAAAAAAAAGGGAGGGGGACATTGAATTACACGTAGAAGAAATTTATGGACTATTATTAGTAGAGAATTCATATTAAGGATGGGCACAACCGTGTAAGTTTCGTTTAATGTCAATGCCTTTATGAACATTTTATTTTTATTTTTTTATTAAGTATAAAAATATATATAAATATATATAAAAATTACACTTTATGACTGAATATTGGATTATTGGAGAATTTTCTCCCAAAGATCTCGTTCTATCTCTGTTCTTCTCCTTCTTCCCCATTTTTTCTTCTTTCCTTTTATCTCTTCTTCTCCTGCATTAATTGGTATCATACTCCCTCTTCTGATACAATTGGTAGCATAACATCAATCCACTGATTCTTTACACGTTGAATCCATCTAAATCTGAAACCAACTGGCAATCAGAACCTCATCAAAACCCTATATCCACTTTTGTCATCGTACTGATTTAAAGCCTCACTGAACTAGATTAATGGAGTTTCTTGCATGCAATCCCCACGCCCCCGCCCCCCGCCCCCCACCCCCTTCCTCTTTCTGACAAGCAATCAAGAAGGGAAAACTCCACATTACAAAGATGTAAAATAAGGAAAACTCCACATTACAAAGATGTAAAATCAGAGAATTCTCAACAAACCCAAGCAAACTCCTAAGAAAGAAAGGCAAAAGAACAAATGAATGGAAAGAATATCAATGGCTTTGCACAATAATAATAATAATAATAATAATAAATCCCTTAAATGTCGTCACAATACCAAAAAGCACCACTCAGAATCAACTCTGCCTATATGATAAACAACCAAACAGCAACAGGAAGAATCAGCTCTGTCCTTATGATAAACTACCAAACGGCACCAAGAAGGATATGACTTGCAACCACAGGGAGCCAAAACTCAAAAACGCCTTAACAACCCAGAAAATAATCATAGAAGGCAAAACTGATAAAAACAAGGGAATCATATTCAGAGCTATAAATCAATAATACCTAAGTCATTTTAAACCAGAAATCCAACATAGCAGAGAGCAGAACAGAACACAAAACCAGAGCAAGTACACAGAAATTACTGAAAATATGATGAAGATGCCTTTATTAGTCTGTTGAATATGCCTATTTACCGAATTTTCAGTAACCCCCAGGCTTGAGAGTCTGAATCAAATAGTCTTTTCAATTATTCTAATCTCTAATGACAGTATAAGGATCCCTTGAAGTCTCAGATAATAGCCTGTAATTCCTTTCAGACCAAAGATGATAGAAGGAAGATGAAAGAGCATAGGGTAGAGCCTTTGAAGGCAGAGCTAGCCCAATCTACCAAGAAGACCAAGACTTATAAAGAATAGTAGTACCACGCTTGCACTTGATGGACACTCAAACTCTATAAGACAATGGACAAGCAAAAAATAAATGTATATGATCTCCTATACCATGACTACATAACGCACAAGTGACATTAAAAATGTAGGAATTTAAGAATGGCTAGACATAGGATAAAACTGAATCTAGATACAGAGCCTTGAAACTAAGGCAAGTGATACCATACAACCTTTGGAAGAGCTGGTTTAATGAAACACCATGAAGATTTAGTGGATAATAAATCAGAGGAAAAGCAGGTCCAGGAAACAGCGACAAACATTATTCTAGGGGGTATGTTGAGACAGTAAATCAGCAAGAATAGGAATGGGGGGAGATCTTTGGTTAAAAGGAAGCTAAAGACCAAGAATTGTTGGAAATAATATCAGTTGCTTGGTTGTTCTAGGCAAAATCCAGAATCATAAATGATCCTTTCACCAAACTGAAAATAAATTGCCCCAAAACATTCTCAAAGGTAGAACTATATGTTAATATTCCTCCTAATTGCTAATGGTTTTGGAGGAAGTTGTTGCAACTAAGAAAGGTTGAATCCATTGCACCCATAAGGAAGAAGGAGGTTGCATGAGTAGCCAAAGATATTTAGCCATTACACTTTATTCCAAAGAAACAGATTTTTAAGGCCTAAGCCAAACTACTGAATCGGAGCTAGAAAAAATATTCCTGCTGGCTGCAGCTCGTTGAGTAAAGGCATCATTACCTGCAAATCGGAACCACAGGAGAGTGTGCATTTAACTTTAGAGAGAAGGCATCCCAACTAATAACATAATGAAGCAAAAAGGCAATAATAACATGAAGTAGCTCTTCCAATTATTTCTACAATTTAGCACAATCTCACCATTTTAGTGCTGAAATCTAAATGGGCACAACATCAAATAGATTCCAAAGAGAGAATCAATTGTTCTAAAAACCACTTAATTAAATGATGTTAATCATTCAATCATCTTTATGATGGTTTTAAGGTAGTGTATTGTAGGAATGACATGAAAAAGGAATATACGAATTCAATAGTCAAAACTCACGTCGCATGCCACTTTTAAAATTTCCTTCTAACTAGGATTCGTCAAACAATAGAGTCAATCATTTTTGCTACTTCTTTAAATTATTCTTCTAACTAGGGCCGATCAAACAATAGAGTCAATCCTTTTCTTTTGTTTAGGCACAACAAGATTATAAGGCTAAATGGACTAAAAGACACATATAGAGCATCAAAGAGGGAGGAGGGAAAAGAAGAAAGGGGATGGGGAAGAGGGGAGGGGTTGTTTACATAATTATTACCTAATATATAAATGAAAGTGCAAAGCACTTTACTTCCAAAAAATGAAATATAAGTATAAAACAAGTAATGGAAGTTCATATGACAAGTTAACTTCCTAAATGTTTCGATGTATTATATCATTTATATATCTAACAAATGCATCAAAACCTACACCAAACTAGATGGTTAATGTAATGTTTGTGTCTTATATATGTATGTGGTGCATTTTGTTTATATGTGGAGTATTTTGAAACAACAAGAAAAGGGAAAAAAAAAAGAAAATCGGCGGGACCCACCACCCACTCAAACATATGGTTTAGAGACTTTTTTTTAATGCTCATTCTCTCTCCCCGCTGAATCCTCTCTCTCGGCCAGTGCTCTATCTCTCTGCCTTTTTCTTTTTCTTTTTCTTTTTCCTTTGCAACTTGAATCTTTGATTAATTCATTATATCTTGGTAGATTTGGGTGCCGTTTGAGGCAAAACGAAGCTTGTGTCAAGCTCTACGCATCCATACCAACAATTCCAGATTTGGTGCACCCTTTGAACTTCGAAATTTAGGACCCATTTTTTAGGGTTTGCTCATTTTTGAGGTAGGGGCATCTTAATCCACTCTCTTCTTGTTCCATTGTGAGTTATGTTTTTTTTTTTGTTGTGCTAGACAAGCTAAATTTGAGAATTAATTGCTTCAATGAGGTGTAAGTGATGTTAAGAGAAAATTCATGTCTTAGGGTTATGACTTGTCTATGTGAAAAGCATGTATAGATGATGGCTTTGTGGTGTTTTTTGTGAATTACACCTCTTTTATGTGCTAACATGCTTTACTTGGGGATTAATTGTGTTAATGATTATTTTAATGTTGTCTAGAGAAATGTATGTTTATGCACATGTGATGTATTATGTGAAAAGCATGCCTATGTGTTGAGTTTATGTCTACTATGTGTAAACTTGCTGAAAGGGATGTATGAGACCATGCTTAATTGTATTGTGCCAAAATTTCACATTGTCATGATATTGAGATTATATGTACATTCTTGGACATGTCATTGGGATGCATGAAATGGGAGAATTTGTCTTGAAATGAAAATGAGGAATTTTTGGAAGATGATAGTTTTTGTGAAATGGTTTTGATAAACCCGGTCGCTGCGGGGTTACCAACGGGCCGGAGGTTAATATAGCCTAGAGGGGACTAGGGAGTCGCCCTAGTGTGGTTGAGCTAGCTGGGCCCCATAATGACGCCGCGGGGTTACCAAGGGTCAGGGACACTAGCCAATCCTCCTCTCGTGTCGCGGCGGGGTTACCAAAGGGCGGGCTGTATTAACGTTTGAAAGTGATGGTTTTGAGAATGAAAATGGGGAGTGTCATTGACATGCATTGCATTTCATTGCATTGCATTGCATTGTTTATAATTGGAATTGAATTGTATGTTGTATTTGATCCCCTACGTTGTATGATCCCTATCTCCCATTGGCCTATGTTTTGCTTGAATTCACAAGGATACAAGATTTGTGTCTTAAGTGTCACCTACTGAGCATATAGCTCACCCTACTATTTATACATTTTTTTTCAGGTCTTGGAAAAGAACCGGTGGACGACAACCCACCTCAAGCTTGAGCTATACTAGAAGCTCACTTTTGTGTCTTTTGTATATCTCCCATTATTTTTACAAAGCACTAAAAGTGTGAAGGTGTATATGTATATTTTGCAAAGCTTTGTCATGTAATGTAATTAAGGTATTTGATGATATTTTGGATGTGAATTTGATAACATGTAAACCTTATTGATGAATGGGGAGAGTAATACTAGTTTGAAGTATCATTGAGGTCATTTGATTGTGTATTATCATCTACTATTGCCGTGAATTCGGAATTTGAGCCATGATAAGTTTAAAAATGAATTTAAACAGGGTATGGTAGGCCTATTTTTAGGGGAGGTCATGCCAAATTTATTTATTTATTTATTTATTTTCTTTGTTTAAAAGGTATTAGTTTTGGGATCGTTACAAATTTGGTATCAGAGTAAAGGTTCGAAAACCTTTAGGACGACGGGTAGAGGCCTACATAGAGTCGCATGGGATGTTGTTTGTATTGTTTACTTGACTACTTGCTACGTGGTATCTTATTTAAATGAGCATACTTAACTGCCTATGTGCTTACTTGCTTACTTGTTTATGTTAAAATGTTTCTTGCATAGTCTTGCATGCTAAGTGTTGTACGGTATTAATTCTTGTTGAGTCGTCCACAGTGGACCTTAGTGTCATGTTTCTGAATTGTTTTCTCGTTTTATAGAACGATGTCACGGCGTGAGGAACCCACAGAAGTTGGCCCTAGGCCAACAAGGGGCGATGTTGGTGAGAGCTCTAGCTCCAATCCGGCGGAGCCAGTTGATGAGAACATGCTTCTTAGGGACTTGATTCCCCCAAGAGCTGTTCCCCCAAGAAGAGAAAATGTTGAAACACTCGTACCCGTAGAAGTGGGTGAAGGTTCTGTGGCACTGGAGTTTAATCGTTTGTTGCAAAATGTCGTGAGGCCAACGATTGCTGCTCAGTCGCAGTCGGCACCACAACCTACAATTCAAGTTGAGGAGACGCCAGCTCAGAAGCGTCTCAAGATCATAAAAGGGTTTTCTCAGTTGATACCGGTAGTGTTTGAGGGCAGTGCGGATCCAATGGTAGCAGATGACTACTTGGATCAAGTTGAAACCTAACTAACCTCAATGGATGTGACAGAGGATCACTTGAAGATCATCCTAGCAACTTACAAGTTTGTTATGGATGCCAAGGTTTGGTGGAAGTCGATCACTAACCAGTACAAGATTGAAGAGATGAGTTGGGACAGGTTCAAGGAACTGTTTTATGAGAAGTACTTTCCGCTTTCCAAAAGATGGGAGTTACAAGACTAGTTTCATAATCTTATTCAAGGGAACATGTCAGTGACGGAGTATGAGAACAGGTTCATCTCACTCTCCCGTTTTGCTCCAGAAGTGGTGAGAGATGAAGCTAACAAGACTCGGAAGTTTGTCTCGGGTCTTAATGATCGAATGAGGCCATTGATCACGGCACAGTTTATTAAGGTTTACTCTGAAGCAGTGGAAAGGGCTTTGATGCTGGAGGCTGATAATAAAGAGAAGGATGCAAGAAGAGAACAGTTGAAGCAAAAGAGGGGTGCAGGGCCATTTTCAGAGGGATCTTCTTGGAAAAAGAACAGGGGCGGTCCATCTCAGTTTCAGGGGCAGCAGACTGCACGATCCGCTTCTACCACTCCTATGCCAGCTGGATCTGACAGGAGTGCAGTTGTTTGTTATCAGTGTCAGCAGCCCGGACATTACAAGTCCAGTTGTCCGATGAGATCGTCTTCAGTTTCATCAGCTCCGAAGGCTTGTTATGGGTGTGGCCAGCAGGGTCACTTGATTCGTGATTGTCCGAGTCAGAGAGCAGGCACCATTAGTGGCAGAGGGTCACAGCAGAGGCCGTCACAATCGGCTACAGTTCAGTCAGGTTTCAGACCACCATCACCACAGCCTACTGTGTCTTCACAGGGTTTACGATCAGTTAGGAGGGATACTCATACTATGTCAGTGCAGCAGTCAGGTGTTCAGGTTGGCAGTCCTTAGCCACAGGTACCACAAGGACGTGTTTTTGCACTGGCACAGACCGATGCATCTTCTGGACCGTCAGTTCTTCGAGGTATATTTCCAGTGTTTGGTTGTTGGGCCCATGTTTTGTTTGACTCTGGTGCATCTCATTCTTTCATTTCATCATCATTTGCACTTGCATCGGGGTTAGAAGTTAGTTTCTTGGAACGGGCGTTGAGTGTTGATACGCTAGTTGGGGTTTCAGTGTCTTTGAGCCGAATTGTGCGGGAGTGTCCCATTGTGATAGTCGGGCGGACTTTCGTGTTTGACCTTATCCTCCTGGAGATGACTAGCTTTGATGTCATCCTCGGGATGGATTGGTTAGCTTTCTTCCATGCCACGATTGACTGTTTCAGAGGGAGAGTTATGGTTTGCACTCCTGAGGGAGACTGTTTCTTTTTCGTGGGAGATCGGAGTGATTCCCACATTTCATCGTTTTATGGAGTTCATGGACGAAGTCATGGTGATTACTTCTTAGCTAGCCTTATAGCCGAAGAAGATGATGTCGCGGGAGAAGTTTATCCGGCGATTGTTTGTGATTTCTTGGATGTTTTTCCAGAAGATTTGACAGAGTTGCCTCCACACCGAGAAGTGGAGTTCACTATTGATTTGATGCATGGTACTGCGCCGATTTCTATGGCACCGTATCGAATGGCCCCAGTTGAATTGGAAGAATTGAAGAGGCAGCTTGATGATTTGAGGATGAAAGGTTTCATTCGACCGAGTGTGTCACCGTGGGGCGCACCGGTCTTATTTGCTAAGAAGAAAGATGGATCGTTGAGGTTGTGCATTGATTATCGGAAGTTGAATCATGCCACCATCAAGAACAAGTATCATTTGCCAAGGATAGATGATTTATTTGATCAGTTGAGGGGAGCCAGTTGTTTCTCAAAGATTGACTTGAGGTCTGGCTATTATCAGTTGCGGGTTAGGGATGAGGATATCCTGAAGACAACATTCCGTACACGGTATGGACACTATGAGTTCCTTGTTATGCCTTTTGGCTTGACTAATGCGCCAGCGGCATTCATGGACTTGATGAACCGCGTCTTTCACGATTACTTGGACCAGTTTGTGGTAGTTTTCGTGGATGACATTCTTGTGTACTCACGGACTCGGGAAGATCACGAGGTCCATTTGAGTATTGTTTTACAGATTTTGCGGGAGCACCGATTGTATGCCAAATACGAGAAATGTGAGTTTTGGTTACAGGAGGTGAAGTTTTTAGGGCATGTTGTTTCAGAAGGTGGAGTATCAGTTGATCCATCAAAGGTTGAAGCAGTTTTGACTTGGGAGCGACCCAAGAATGTGTTTGAGATCCGCAGTTTCCTTGGTTTAGCGGGTTACTATCGGAGATTTGTGAAGGATTTCTCCCGTTTGGCAGCTTCTATGACCCGTTTGACCCGGAAAGGGATCAAGTTTGTCTGGAATGAGGCCTGTGATTTATCTTTTCAGGAGTTGAAGACGAGATTAACTACAGCGCCAGTGTTGGTGATACCTGAGCGTGGCTTGGGTTATGTGATCTATTGTGATGCTTCACGTGACGGGTTGGAATGTGTGTTGATGCAGGATGGTAGAGTAGTGGCTTATGGGTCTCGACAGTTGAAGACTCACGAGTACAACTACCCTACTCATGACCTAGAGTTAGCGGCAGTTGTATTTGCCTTGAAGTGTTTGAGACATTACTTGTATGGTGAGAGATTCGAGGTATTTTCAGATCACAAAAGTCTCAAGTACCTTTTCTCCCAAAAGGACTTGAAAAACAGACAGAGGCGATGGGTTGAATTCTTGGAGGACTACAATTTTGACTTGCAGTATCATCCGGACAAGGCGAATGTGGTAGCGGATGCCTTAAGCCGGAAATCTCGTGGAACTTTGGCCAGTTTAGTTATTCGGAAGTGGAAGATGCTTGAAGATCTGGCAGAGATGGGATTACAGTGTTGTGATAATGATGCTTGCAGTGAGTCGGCATTCTTATTTAGTCTTGTGGCTCAGCCTACTCTTGTTGTACGAGTGATTGAGTCACAGAGACAGGACCCGGACTTAAATGCCATCCACGCTTTGATCTCTAGTGGTGAGACAGTGAAAGATTGAGCCTTGCATGCAGATGGGGGTCTACGGTTCAGGGGTTTGTTGGTGGTTCCCACATGTTGTCGTGAGGATGTCCTACGGGAGTTTCACACTTCCCGTTTTGCAGTTCATCTAGGTGGTACTAAAATGTATCACAATTTGAGACGTCAGTATTGGTGGAGCGGGATGAAGAATGATGTTGCACAGTTTGTGGCTAGATGCCTTACCTGTCAGCAGGTGAAGGCCGAGCATCAGAGGCCAGCAGGTTTGTTGCAATCATTACCTGTAGCGCAATGGAAATGGGAGCATATTGCTATGGATTTTGTGACAGGTTTTCCAAGGTCAAAGAGGGGCAATGAGGCCGTATGGGTCATCATTGACAGATTGACCAAGACGGCTCACTTTTTGCCTATTAAGGCAACAGACGATGTAGAGAAGCTTGGTATATTTTATGTGAAAGAGATTGTAAGGTTACATGGAGTCCCTATAACCATTGTGTCAGATAGGGATGCTAAGTTCACTTCGAAGTTCTGGGAAGGACTTCAAGCAGCGTTTGGTTCAGCGTTGCATCTTAGTACGGCATTCCATCCACGGACAGACGGTCAGTCAGAGCGTACTATCCAGATTTTGGAGGATTTGCTTTGGGCATGTGTACTTGATTTGGGAGGTAGTTGGGAGGATCACCTTCCACTTATTGAGTTTGCCTACAACAACAGTTATCAGGCGAGCATCCAGATGGCTCCATTTGAGGCGTTGTATGGTAGACCTTGTAGGTCTCCTGTTCGTTGGACTGAGGTAGGCGAGACAGCCGCCTTAAGACCCGACATTGTACCCGAGACTACTGAGAAGATTAAGTTGATAAGACAGAGGTTACTTACAGCTCAAAGCCGACAGAAGAGCTATGCGGATAAGCGGAGACGACCGTTATCCTTTGAGGTGGGAGACCACGTTTTTCTACGGGTTTCTCCACGGAAGGGATTGATGAGATTCGGAAAAAGTGGCAAGTTGTCGCCACGATTTATTGGACCGTTTGAGATTTTGGACCGAGTAGGAGAGGTTGCCTACAGGCTTGCTTTACCACCACAGATGGACAGAGTTCACAATGTCTTTCATGTATCGATGTTACGAAAGTACGAGCGGGATCCATCTCACATTTTGAGTTGGGTTGATGTGGATATTGATGAGGATGTTTCCTACGAGGAAGGACCAGTTCAGATTCTTGACACACAGCAGAAGGTGTTGAGGAACAAGACAATACCAATAGTGAAAGTCCTTTGGAAACACTACGGAGTCGAGGAGGCTACTTGGGGGCTTGAACAGGAGGTTCGGTCCAAGTATCCAGCTTTGTTTTCTTCCTCAGGTATGTCTTGATTTCGGGGACGAAATCTTTTAAAGTTGGGAAGAATGTAATGTTTGTGTCTGATATATGTATGTGGTGCATTTTGTTTATATGTGGAGTATTTTGAAACAAAAAGAAAAGGGAAAAGAAAAGAAAATCGGCGGGACCCACCACCCACTCAAACATATGATTTAGAGACTTTTTTTTATGCTCATTCTCTTTCCCCGCTGAATCCTCTCTCTCGGCCAGTGCTCTATCTCTCTGCCTTTTCTTTTTCTTTTTCCTTTGCAACTTGAATCTTTGATTAATTCATCATCTCTTGGTAGATTTGGGTGCCGTTTGAGGCAGAACAAAGCTTGTGTCGAGCTCTACGCATCCATACCAACAATTCCAGATTTGGTGCACCCTTTGAACTTTGAAATTTAGGACCCATTTTCTAGGGTTTGCTTATTTTTGAGGTAGGAGCATCTTAATCCACTCTCTTCTTGTTCCATTGTGAGTTATGTTTTTTTTTTGTTGTGCTAGACATGCTAAATTTGAGAATTAATTGCTTCAATGAGGTGTAAGTGATGTTTAGAGAAAATTCATATCTTAGGGTTATGACTTGTCTATGTGAAAAGCATGTATAGATGATGGCTTTGTGGTGTTTTTTGTGAATTACACCTCTTTTATGTGCTAACATGCTTTACTTGGGGATTAATTGTGTTAATGATTATTTTAATGTTGTCTAGAGAAATGTATGTTTATGCACATGTGATGTATTATGTGAAAAGCATGCCTATGTGTTGAGTTTATGTCTACTATGTGTAAACTTGCTGAAAGGGATGTATGAGACCATGCTTAATTGTATTGTGCCAAAATTTCACTTTGTCATGATATTGAGATTATATGTACATTCTTGGACATGTCATTGGGATGCATGAAATGGGAGAATTTGTCTTGAAATGAAAATGAGGAATTTTTGGAAGATGATAGTTTTTGTGAAATGGTTTTGATAAACCCGGTCGCTGCGGGATTACCAACGGGCCGGAGGTTAATATAGCCTAGAGGGGACTAGGGAGTCGCCCTAGTGTGGTTGAGTTAGCTGGGCCCCATAATGACGCCGCGGGGTTACCAAGGGTCAGGGACACTAGCCAATCCTCCTCTCGTGTCGCGGCGGGGTTACCAAAGGGTGGGCTGTATTAACGTTTGAAAGTGATGGTTTTGAGAATGAAAATGGGGAGTGTCATTGACATGCATTGCATTTCATTGCATTGCATTGCATTGTTTATAATTGGAATTGAATTGTATGTTGTATTTGATCCCCTACGTTGTATGATCCCTATCTCCCATTGGCCTATGCTTTGCTTGAATTCACAAGGACAAAAGATTTGTGTCTTAAGTGTCACCTACTGAGCATATAGCTCACCCTACTATTTATACATTTTTTTTCAGGTCTTGGAAAAGAACCGGTGGACGACAACCCACCTCAAGCTTGAGCGATACTAGAAGCTCACTTTTGTGTCTTTTGTATATCTCCCATTATTTTTGCAAAGCACTAAAAGTGTGAAGGTGTATATGTATATTTTGCAAAACTTTGTCATGTAATGTAATTAAGGTATTTGATGATATTTTGGATGTGAATTTGATAACATGTAAATCTTATTGATGAATGGGGAGAGTAATACTAGTTTGAAGTATTATTGAGGTCATTTGATTGTGTATTATCATCTACTATTGCCGTGAATTCGGAATTTGAGCCATGATAAGTTTAAAAATGAATTTAAACAGGATATGGTAGGCCTATTTTTAGGAGAGGTCATGCCAAATTTTTTTTATTTTTTTATTTTTAAAAGGTATTAGTTTTGGGATCGTTACAGTTAAACCATTAAGATATTGACAGAGCTTCTACCACAGGTTTTCTAAAACACACCAGAACCATTCTTTTCAATTTTACAAGATTCGATCAGATCACCAATCTGACTGGCCAATTGTTCATGGAATTAGGGTATTTTTCGAAAAACAGATCCTCCATAAATAGAATGCCATTGCGGAAGTGTTCAGCTTTGGGTTGCAAGGTGAGCAATTTGACTCCGACTAGGATTATTGTCCATGCTGTAATGGATACAGCCCAAATAACCCTCAGGTACAAGTGTACAAAATGCTACAGATTCTTGTGGATCGCTGAGAGGGAAACATACAATGAATGTTATTGATGCTACTCCTTACCATCTTTGACTGGGTAGATCTCCACACAATGTGTGAGTCCATTTTACTTTGTGGGAAGCTTCTGTAAAATGGAGAATTGTGTGTTTTAGTGAAAACTGACCAGATGGAGAAAGAGACCGGTAAACTGAGTCAGTAGTGGAGGGGTTGGGATGAGAGCATGTGGAGATTTTGGGGATGAGTGAAAAGAATTTGTGGAGGGATTCACCACAAAGCGCATTGTCAAACTATGTTAGTTTTATAAGGAAATAAATTTGAAGTGTCTTACTGGACTAATCCATGTTAGTTTTGTAGGTCCGCAGTTGTAATATGTTGAGGTATTTCTGATTGTGAAAGTGATTCATGCGAATAAGTAATTGATGATAATAACATTATTATTAAATGCACTGGTTCCCTATCTGGCTATGGAAATCCATAAGACCGGGTAAATGTATCGGGTATGGATATATGTCCAAGTGTCAGACTGAATCCCAAATCATAGGAAATGAGAACTCAGGTTAAAATGTGTTCAAAAATTGAATATGGATATGTAAGTTGTCTTGCCCACTCAAAAATATGTGTTGCATGGACTCCTATTCCCTCGATTAACTGAAGTCGACATGACATGACATGAGTATGGCTTTGTGTTCAAAACAGGTACCTAAATTCGACACCTAAATCCTCTTATTATTTCAGTGGAAGAAGAAAATCTCAAATTTGATACAAGGGTTTCCAACTTTTATTTTAATTAAATTATTATTTATTAAATTTTCAATAAATAATAGCATAAATACTTTCAAATGTCATATAATTTTATTGTGCAATACATGTCAACATACCCATATTCAATTTTTTGATACATTTCAAGCAAAGTACCCAAAAAGAGCAAGGAAGTGAAAAAACTTCATCAATTAGATGGTTAGAAATCATTCTTCCAGTTGCTGAATATATTTTGTGGAACAGAGGTGCACAATGTCCTAGAAGATGCATTGAAAACACAATTGACTAAGGCATTAGCATTTCTCTGACCTCTGCTATATCTTCATTTATCATATTTTACTCTCCGTATCTCTCTTTCACAGTTCCCTCTTTCACTTCATTAACAAACTGTTTTCCCCCATTTTCATTACTCCCACTTTCAGATCTTCAATTGAAGATGATTTTTGCTTCCTTAAAGACAAGGATAACCATTAATCCTTGAGTTTGTTCACATACATGTCTCTGGAGTTCCCACTCACATATGGTTAGTTTGTTAGTCATCTCTACTTACTTCTCCAGATATTATGTCATCAATCTAACACATCAACAATGTTCTAAATACCATGAGTTTCAGATTCTTGATCATTTTAATCAGTAAATATTTAAGCAGTAAATAATTAAAGATGAGCCTCTTGATTTCAATTTTGAGTAATTGAAAGCAGTTGCTTATTTTATGTAGGGGCATGTTAGATAAATAAGTAATAATACTATTTTACGGAACTATGTTAATTGAGATATCAGTAACGTCATTGTAGCATCAAGTTCAGTTCAAAATCCAATCGAACCAAAAGTTACATCTTTCTTATTTTTATTTTATGCATGCCCTGCTTTTAAAAACTTGTACGTAACATTGAAAAAGAAAAGTTGTAGGATTCCGAAAGGAGTGAACCAGGGACATCAGACCCCATTGCTGGAATCTTCAAATCCTGGACACGGGCAGTGTTGGAATTGATTGCCTTTTTTTTCTCCCTTTTGCAGGAGTGGGGAGGGGAGAACTATTTGCATTTATAAAAAAAATAATAATAATAAATAAAAACATAAAAAAATAAAAATAAAAACTACAAGATATAAGACTTTTCAAAAGTTACACCTACTAAATAAAACTCCAATTCTTTTTTTTTTTTTACCAAAATAAAATGAAGTCCAAATTTTAACACGAATTTTATACCCATAAATAATAGTACAATAAAAATTCCATCTTACGATATACGATTCGCAATTTGTGTCCAACAAAAAATCCATCTTATAGTACGTGATATGTTCTTATGTTCTCAATTCATCATACAAACTCAAAGTCTTTTAAAAAATATATACATGCTTTTCTATACAAAAATATATATGCATAACAATCAGACTCACTCCATATTCATCTAGCTCTACAATATAATGCATAAATAACAGAGACTTTTGGCATCCATATGTTAACCACATATAAAAATTAATACATTCATATTTTTCAAACAAAACTATAACTGCATTTTCAGTACCCAAAACTTTAGCAACTACAATTGTCTATATATTGAAGAAATAAGACAAGTGGAATTTGCAAAATTTTAGCTGAGATGGAAGCATATAATCACCACTTAAGCAAAGCAAACTTTGTACTGCCACTATATTGTGTGTAATATGTAGCCTTAGATACATGAAATAAACATTTTGAAAGCAAATAAAAACGGCAGCAATTTCTTACCAAATAAGGTGGAAGAACAGAAAGATCGAGACTTAGAAGTTGTTCCTGCAAAGGCAAAGCCACATATAAAAATTTCAACTACATATTAATGAATAATGGGCAGAAGAAACTGGAAAAAGTCACATCTATCAAATTAAAATCAACATTATATAGATATTACCAATATTATAAAGATTAAGTTTATCAAGCTGTCAGATATCCATCTATCAATTTATGCATCTCTCTCTATGTATGTATATATCTATTTATGAAACAACTACAATTAAAGCGTTTTTTTCAATTAGTTGGGGTCAGCTACATAAATCATATTTTTTCAATCCGCTCTATGAAAGGCCATGGCCACAGTCAAACTACATGTTATCATATGTTTCCTTACTAACTCTAACCACGTTAACTTTAATCTTCCCTTTTCCCTAAAATACACTCAACGTGGACCATGCCACTCTTCCTAACTAATGCACTTAAAGATCTTCTATGCACATGTCAAAACCATCTTAATCAAATTTATCTCCGATTGGTTCTATTCCAACCATCTCGATCATTTTAAATTCCATCATTCCTAGTCTCTTTTTTTTTGAAAGGTTAAACAATTGTGTAGATGAACAGGTAATTACAAGTTTGGGTCCAAGGTGAGCTCTACGTAGCAGGACAAAAAGAAAAAGGTGTTACAAATAGACCAAACGAAACAAGACCTTTTAGGCCCAAACATGTTAGCCGTTACGTGACCAAACAGCCAACCAAGTCTTTTTCCGGTTACAACACAGGGAGGGGTCTTTAACGCCACTGGAGATGGCATTGAGAGCCTTACGCATAGGAATCTGGTGGTCGCGGCAGTGGTCGGAGGCAGTCCAAAGGTATTTCCCATTGAATCAGAGCTTGACGTGCCTTGAAGCTAAACTTGAAAGTTGGTTTGTGTGTTTCGTTCCCTTGTAGAATCGTGTGTTTCGTTCCTCCCAAGTGTGGTGTACACACGCAGAGAGGGCCAGTTTACCAAGTGAGTGAACATTTCCTTGATTGCCAATATATTGAAATCCAGAAACTATATCCAACCAATTTGAGTGGGGAATAAATGATCTGCAAATTCCTTGAATATATTACTAGACAGGCTTAATGAAATCGCAGGAGAAGGAAAGATAGTTGTGGGATTCACTTGAAGCAAGGCAAAATGGGTAGTAATTGGGGTTGTGGAGATGAGCCTTGCTTTTCTTGTCAAGAATGGGCAATTTTTCTTGGACAAAAACCCATGTAATAAACTGATGTTTGGGAACTGAGATGGTATTCCGGGGATGTGGAACCAAGGCTTGCGAGGGAGAGTAGGAGAAAAAGCCAACAATGTGTGATTCATTGAATAGCCTCCAGAGAGTGATGGGGACCAGATGATTCTGTCAGGTTGATTGGGAGTGACGGAGGAGGGTTTGAAAGTTTAGGGATAATGGTGAACAAAATTGGTGGAAAGGACCATAAAGCTCCATCAATGAAATCACTTACAATTGCATCCAAAGGAACTGAGGATAGCTGACATTGCTTCACTTACTCTTGGAAGCAATGGCCCTGCTGGTAGCCGATTATCCTCTTAGAAGGAGCAAACATGTCTTCATGACTTGCCTGGCAACATGTCTCATTTGCAGTAATTTCCTCCAAGACCAAGACCATGCACAATCCTAAGGTATGTTAATCTTCCAAATGATTCTTTGTTTAATCAAATATGTTGAAACCCAATTGCACCAAATGCTTTGTGAATTGTGGTTGATAATTGCCCATAAATGTCAAAACACTGCTGCTTGGTTGCATCGTTGTAGGCATGGGACACCCACCCCACCGACTCTTATAGGAAGGCACACAGTATCCCAAACAACCTTACTTCAGTTGTCTTCAAATCTGCACCTGACCACAAGAAAGCTCTCAAGATGGAATTAATCTCAGCGTAGACTGATTTTGGCATAATAAACATACATGAACAGTATGTTTGAATATTGATAAGAATGGCTTTAATGAGTTGTAGCCTCCCTGCATAGGACACACATCTAAAGGTTGCACTAGACATTTGCAATCAGCAGCTTTAAAAGCATGGCGGACAAAAGTGGGACACCCAAATGTCTGATAGGTAGAGTTCCCTTTCCAAAGCCAAGGAGATAATGATGGCCTACTCAATATGAGAGGAGACACCAGAGAAGGAGGTGCTATAGGAGATATTAATGGACGACTGAGATTTGAGAAAATTGGTCTAAAACTACTTTTAAGGTTCTAAAAGAATCAAGATTTCCATGACTAAGAAAAATTAGATCATCTGCAAAGCATAGGTGAGTCATCCCTAATTTTTTGCATCTCCAATGATACTTGAAGAAAGGGTTATCAGTAACAAAAAGTTTTGTGATAGAAAATAAGACATCCATCACTATCACAAAAAGGTAGGGAAAGAGGGGGCCCTTGACTCCCCCAAATTAACCATGGAGTTCTCCATTGACTGAAATGGAAGAGGGAGAGGTGATACAAGCCTCCACCCAAGAGATGAATGTGATTGAGAAGCCAAGAAGAGATGGAACATCAATGATGAATGGCCAACTTACAGAGTCAAAATATCTGCTTTTAAAGCACATCTAGGACTTGAAGATGCCTTATGGTAATCCCTGAGCAATTCTTGAGTGAGCAGAACACTGTCACTGGTTTTTTTTTACCTCAGCAAAATGTCACGGACTTAGAGTTTCAGCACCACTCTAGCTGCTCCCGTGCGGCACCAAGACGTTGCTTTCACTCTCGCAAGTACTTGGTCAGCCTAACTCCCGTGCACACCTTAGCCAACACACTCCCCTTGTGCGCTTACTAGTGTTGTAGTTGCCCTCGCCCTCTCCTCACTTGGCTTGCACACTCACACACACTAAGGCACTTAAGTTGGCAAGGAAAGAACACTTCTATTACTTCAAAGAATGCTTTGTACAAGGCTAACACTCAAGCTCTCTACAAGGCTCTCAAGACTCACTCCAGGACTTGTTCCCTACAAAATGAAGTCCTATCTCTATTTATAGGCATCCCCATCCCTAATGGACGGCTAGGATGCATTCTAACCAACGGTGGAGATTGATTATCTAGAATCTTCTCCCACCTTCTTCACACTTCCATACTTATCTACTAGTATCTACAACATTCTAGAATTCTCCATACTACTCCACACAACTCTGGAGAACTTTAAAACCTTCCACACACTTCTACACATTTCTACACATATCTAGAATCTTCCACATAACTCTAGACTACTCCGGAAGACTCTAGAAACTCCACTTGCCATGCAGTTGCCATGCAGCGTCCTCCTCAGCGTCTGCGTGTCGCCTGCGTGGCACAACCTCCATAGGCGGGGTGTGACATTCTCCCCCACCCATTTCCGTGACGCCCTCGTCACGGTTTCTTCAGCTGACCCAGCCTCTCGTAGGTCATTAGCACTTGCGCATATGTCCTTGGCCCAAACGTACGAGCGCCCTTCGGGAGATATGAAGTCCTCACGAGCTCCATCGTGTTGACTGCCACCTCTGGACTCTCCTTCCTGCCCACGAGCGGCACCATACATGTGGCATTGCCTTCCTCGCCTCCGAGTATCATCAACGCACCAAGGCATGGTAGTGGCGCGGCGTTGTTCCTGTCCATGAACTCCAGCCCCAGCACCATGTCGTGGTCGTCCATCTCCGCAACTTGGAAGTCAGCCTTGCCCTTCCATCCTTGCATGCATAGCTCCACCTCCTTGCACACTCTACTCACGCGTGCCTCTTCGGAGTTGACGGCCTTGATCCAGCCCTCCGTCTTGCGCATCTCCAAGCCAAGTCGTTGCGCCTCCTCCGGGGTAATGAAGTTGTGTGTAGCACCCGTGTCTACCAACGCTTGCACGGCTTTGCCACCAACCTGTGCATCCACATAGCGCACCCCAGCTACCTTTTTTGCCTTGCCCTTCTTCTTGGTGTCATGCGCCATGCTACTCAGCATCTGTATAGCCCCCATGCACCTATCTTCATCGCTGCCCGCATCGTCCACCCTGCCCTTGCCCTTATCCTTCACAAGGGCGCTCATGGTCTTTTTGTTGGGGCAGTGTCGCAATATGTGCGGCCCTTCGCACAAGTAGCACTTCGGCTCCCACTTGCCCTTATCGCGGCGCTCCCCTTTGCCACTAGCCTTAGACCTCTCTCCATGGTCCTTGCCCTTATCATGGCGTGGGCGTCTCTCCTCATCGCTGTGCTCATCATCACTAGACTTGGGCGAGCCCCGTTTCTTGAAGCGCCGGTCTCCCCCACCTTTGCCGTGGTCCCTCCTGGGAGACGTGGCCCTCTTGTCATCGCGCCTAAAGTCTTTGAGGTGCTCCGCTATAGCCATTGCGGATGCCAAGTCTCTAGGCTCCCTCCTCCTTAGCTCCGTGGCCACCCAAGACTGCAGCCCATCAATGAACAAGCACACACGTTGCCGCTCCGGCATCTCTGGGATCTCCAGCATCAAGTTGGAGTACTCATTCACATACTCCCTTATGCTGCCCTTCTGCTTCAGGCGCCTTAGGTTGATCATGGCGAGGTCCTCAATGCACTCAGGGTAGAACTGCCTCTTGAGCTGCCTCTTGAACTCCTCCCATGTATCAACTGCTCTTGCGCCCCTACCGGTGAAGCGCTGTCTCCACCATAGAGCGGCAGTGTCCGTGAGGTACATAGTGCCTGTCTGCACCTTCTCCTCATCATCCTCGATCTCCATGCACTCGAAGTACCGCTCCATGTGCCAGAAGAAGTTGTCAATCTAGCGCGCATTCCTTGCCCCATCGTACTCCTTGGGCTCCGGCACCTTCTTCTTCCTTGGCTTCACCACGACTTCGCGCGCCTGGGAGAACTCCTTCTTGCACTCGGCAATCTCCACGCGCAAGTCGTCTACCTGATCATACAAGTCCCTTTCCTTCTCTCGCGCCTTGTTGGCAATGCCGTCAATCAGCTCGTAGAGTTCTGCCATCTTTCTCTCGAGCCTGTTAAACTTGGTCTCCGTGTAGACCAAGTATGTGGCAAGCTTTTCTTCCAAGCTCTGCTCCAAGACGTGGACTTGGTGGTCTCTTCCGCTAGCCATGTCTACTCCAACAAAGCTCCCTTGACGAACCTGGCTCTGATACCAACTGTCACGGACTTAGAGTTTCAGCACCACTCTAGCTGCTCCCGTGCGGCACCAAGACGTTGCTTTCACTCTCGCAAGTACTTGGTCAGCCTAACTCCCGTGCACACCTTAGCCAACACACTCCCCTCGTGCGCTTACTAGTGTTGTAGTTGCCCTCGCCCTCTCCTCACTTGGCTTGCACACTCACACACACTAAGGCACTTAAGTTGGCAAGGAAAGAACACTTCTATTACTTCAAAGAATGCTTTGTACAAGGCTAACACTCAAGCTCTCTACAAGGCTCTCAAGACTCACTCCAGGACTTGTTCCCTACAAAATGAAGTCCTACCTCTATTTATAGGCATCCCCATCCCTAATGGACGGCTAGGATGCATTCTAACCAACGGTGGAGATTGATTATCTAGAATCTTCTCCCACCTTCTTCACACTTCCATACTTATCTACTAGTATCTACAACATTCTAGAATTCTCCATACTACTCCACACAACTCTGGAGAACTCTAGAACCTTCCACACACTTCTACACATTTCTACACATATCTAGAATCTTCCACATAACTCTAGACTATTCCGGAAGACTCTAGAAACTCCACTTGCCATGCAGCGTCCTCCTCAGCGTCTGCGTGTCGCCTGCGTGGCACAACCTCCATAGGCGGGGCATGACAAAAAGTTGTTTAAGTACAGTCAATAATACATGGCAAGATAGGATTGAGTTTGTTTGCAATAACCTCAAAAATACATTGTAGACAACATTGCAACAGGAAAT